CTGCTCTGATCCCTTGGGAAAGGAAAGATTTAGCCTCAGCCCCCCCGCGTCCTTGCTCGCTTCACTCTCCCTGTGGATTATGCTCAGTCTTGCGGGGATGGAATCCTGGAGATCTTCCTTCGGATACCGAGTCTTGGGACTGGGACAAGGTGGTTAGTGTATGCTCCCCTTGTTACTTCCCTGGGGAGGTCAGCAGCACCTCCTGACCTGAGCATACCCGCCTGCAAGTGGAAAGCAAAGCACAGCTCAAAGCGCTCCCAGAAAACGCACACACAGCCCAGCTTCGGTTTGCCTCTGGCTCCATCACCCCTCCCTGACGGGCAAATCCCTGCAGAGGTTTCGGAGTGAGCGTTGCTGCTGCGAGCTGTGGGGCTGGGGCAATGGGACCCCCAGCGAAGGACAGGGAGGCTGGTCTGCAGCAGCATCAACCTGCGTGGAGAGACAGCTTGGACGGGAATGTTGGGCCGAGGGTTAAGCCCGGGAATCTTGGGCGGAGGGTTAAGCCTGGCCATATCTGACTGGCAGTGGATCTGCCTCCCACGGAAAATTCAGGTGAGGTGTGTCCTTGTTGACAGCTGCCACCAAGTGCCACCAGCCTGAGACAGTGACATCCCAGAAGTGGTCTGGCACTGCCAGTCCCCATGACTTATCCCAGGAGCAGGACAGTGTGGCACAGCCCAGGGATTCGGGGGGAGCAGCCTTGCAGGGCTGGAACAGGGGAGATGGCGGTGCTGCCTGCGGAGCTGCAGCCAGGCACCAGCCTGCCCATGGGGGAGATGCCACCAGCCAGGTGCCAGGTTGTTCCGAGAGCTGAAGGTGGACGTGACGAGCCCTCGGCCAGGCCTTGTGGCCACAGCCCAGAGAAACATCAGCTGAACCCCACGCCTGGACAGATGGGCTGAGGGCCAACCAGGTCAAGATCCCAGGATCAACCCCTCCAGACAGCAGCTCTGGTTCATGGCACAGCCTCCCCACCCAGAGCCCTGGCATTGCCCCCTGCCCCACAGAGCTGCCCCTGCCTGCCCTAGCCCCCACTGCTCTGACAGCCGGGTCCTCACGCTCACGTTGCCCTCCTGCTGCTGCCCAGGGCAGGGCTCAAGAAACAGAGATGAGTTTCATCCCAGATCTCCTTCCCCATCTCATTTTGAAGCTACTGACCATCCTGCCCTGCTGCATTGCTCCTTCCCAGGGGGTCTGTGCCCTTCCCTGGGCTTCATCCCATCCTCGGGGCTCTTCTGCTACCTCTCGTTGGGGTGAGGGGTGTTTCTGCAGGAAGCAGGACCTTTGCCTGTCACTCTGGCAGCACCAGGAGCCCAAACAGTGCTGTGGACTGATCCCTCCCTCCACCTCCACAGGCTCGTTACTGTCCCTGTGCAAGACAGAGAAACTGAGGCACGGACCAAAGCCTCACGGCAGCACTTCACCACCACACTGGGTACCGTTACCGGTACCCGTCCCCGTACCGGTACTGCTGCCTCTGCCCCTCCGCTGGCTGCCCCACATGGCTCAGCAGTGGCTGCGGGAGGAGCCTGGCTGCTCCAGGGCTCAGCTGGGGCTACTTGACCTGCAGAGGGGATTCACCTGGAGCCTGGTGGGTCTGGGCAGGTCAGGAACCACTCGCTGAGGCTCTTTCGGGGTGGCTGCTCTTATAAACCAGCAGCCTGCTTGCGCTAAGGGCTGCTTTTTTCTTTCTTTTCTTTTTCTCTTTGAGGAGTCTTAGTTTGGGGGTGGGGGGGTTGGGTGTTCTGGGATGTAGCGTAAGGACTTTCTACCCTTCACAGCACTGCCAAGCAGGTAAGGGCATGGCCAGGCTATGAGCTGCCTCCAATCCTCTGGGCTGGGGTTGGGGGCTGCAGCCCAAAGCAGGGCTCTGCCCTGGGGCGGGCTGGGGTTGGAAAGCATTACAGCATTGTCCCTCTCTTCTGTAATGTCCCAGATGAAGGACGATGTCATCTCCTAGCTCTGGGGTGGCCCTGGGGCTTGGTTCCCAGCCCAGCAGCAGCACTCCTCTGCCAGTGCAAAGAAATTCCTTCCCAGCGCTGCATCTCCGTTCACCATGGAGCTGCTCCTTTGCCCTGTTCAACCAGGAGGACTTCTTCAAGAGCTTCAGTGGGTACGTAGCTGCTGGGAAGTGTGTGGGGCCTGAGCCCAGCCTTGCCTTGTGTTTATCCTCAAGAGAATGTGTCCCTTGTGTAGGATGGGTTCAGTTTCATGGCCTAGCACCAGTGCTCCTGGCACCGGGAGGCTCGCAGTGCGTAGGCTGGTGCTGCTCCCCTGTAGCCAGAGCAAAGCTGATGGTCCTGCGTCTCCCTGGTGTCCCTGCCATCCTCACTTCTGCAGCTGGGACTAGGCAGTGCTGCACATCCTAAAGCCACCAACTCATGCCTGTGTCTCTGCTGCTCTGCCAGGAGCTTCTGCAACACGAGCAATGTTTTGGGGGCTGATCTGCTGGGCTGCAGCTACTCCATTGCTGACCCGCAGCTGGTCCGGAGGATTGTGTCCCAGGTGGAGTTCTACCTCTCTGATGAGAACCTGGCCAAGGATGCCTTCCTCCTGAAACATGTCCAGAAGAACAAGATGGGCTTTGTCAGCATCAAACTGCTGACATCCTTCAAGAAGGTAGGCAGCCCATGGCACTAGCCGGCTGGAGTGGAAAGTGGCCTTCAGGTGGAGGATGTCCAGGGGTCTGGCTGTGGTCTGGCTGTCTCTGGTGGGGTGTACAGGGAGGTCCAGGCTCTGCGTCAGCTGTTTGTGTCCTGGCGAAGCACTGGTGGTGCAGTGCTGGGCTCTGCTCTCTGCCTTCTATGTGCCACAGCAGTTCTCCAGCCAGGAAGGGTGGCTGGGGAAGTGGTGAACAGTCCTCACATCGCCCCCAGGGCTGGGTTCACCTCCTCTACCCATGGTTCCCCTGGGCTGCTTTGGGAGAGATCATCCCTTAGCCAAAAACCTGGAGGGAAGCCTGGGTGGTGTGATGTATGGGGGAGCTGTAGCTTGTCACAGTCCAGGGGGTACTGGGGACCTTCTACAAACCTGGAGATGCTCACATGAGAGGGGGATATTGCCTTGCCATGACTTCAGGTAGATGGGGTTGCAGCCTGCCTGGATGCTGGATTTGGGGTGGCTCCTCTCTCCACAGGTCAAATACCTGACCCGTGACTGGCGGCTCACGCTCTATGCCCTGCAGTTCTCGGAGCTGCTGGAGGTGAATGAGGAGGGCACCAAAGTGAGGCGGCGGGTCCCTGTCCCCGAGTCCTTGCTGAGCATCCCTCCCAGCAAACTGCTGCTGGCCTGGGAGCTGCTGCCCCAGGAGCAGGACACACTGATGCCACTTCAGAAGAACTTCCTGGAGACCATCACAAGGATGTTCAGCCCCTTTGGAGCCATCGCCTCCATCCGCATCCTGAGGCCGGGCCGCAAGCTACCCTCCGATGTACGGAAATACACGTCACGTTTCCCTGAGCTGCTGAGCAAGTGCTGCGCGCTGGTGGAGTACGAGAGCTTGGAGAGTGCCCGCAGGGCCTTTGAGGACCTCTGTCACCAAAGCTTCCCAGGCGGTGAGAGCATCAGGGTAGTCCGACTCTGCGGGAAGGGCCTCAAGAAGAAACCTGGGGCTGAGAAGGAAGTGGCAGAGCAGCTGGTGAAGCACCCAGGTTGGGAGGAGAAGGCAGTGGCCACAGCGTTTCCCTATACCAACGGGGACACCCTGCTCCGCAGCTCTTTGGAGTCAGAGGGTACCCCAGCATCACTGCCCTTCCTCCTGAAAAAGGACCCCCCAGCAGCCACCTGGCCCAGCAGCAACTTGAAGCCCGGTGACTTGGACAAGGCCTTCACCGGATCGCTCTTCGCTAGCAAAGTCTTCCCTCCGCTCGGAAAAGGCTTAGGCACAAGCAGCTGCCGTGGGCTCTGCTCCAGCACCGAGAGCCCCTGCGGCTGGGGGTGTGGGGCGAGTGCCTGGGCAGCCTGGTGCAGCAGACCTTCTCTGGATGCCAAACCTCCTCCTGGATATCGCCCACCAGCAACGGGAGTGCCTGAGCCCCTTTTCCTGTGGGACAGGCTGCTTCGTGTGCCCAATGGCCCTGATGGCACCAAGGGCCTCAGCAGCACCTTTGGGAGAGGAGAGCCCATCCAACAGAACTAAGGTTCCTTTACGTTTCGGTTCTGTGTTGGTTTTTTTTTTTTT